TGAGAGAGAATCATTGATTGGCTGCCTCCTGCAGGCCCCCTACTGGGGATTGAGCCTGCAACCCTGGGCTTGTGCCTGACCAGGAATCCAACCTGTGACCTCCTGGTTCTTAGGTCAATGCTAATATCCTGCTCTTAACATCTTTATTTATTAGCTGGGAAGCAGTGGAAAGATATTTGTTGATATTTACCACGCATTGTTCAAAATGTGTCCCTCCCTATTAATCTATTCTCTCTCCTCCTCAAACCCACACTTACAGACTCCATCAGCATGCTCAGGCTGGACATTTGCAAATCACACTTCCCAAACCTTTGCCAATTGGTGTTTATCTTAAGTTCCCTTAAAAGAGGAACTAGATGCAGCCGTGGGCAAACTACAGCCCGCGGGCCGGATCCCCGTTTGAAATGAATAAAACTAAAAAAGAAAAGACCGTACCCTTTTATGTAATGATGTTTACTTTGAATTTATATTAGTTCACACAAACACTCCATCCATGCTTTTGTTCCTCCGGTCCAGTTTAAGAACCCATTGTGGCCCTCGAGTCAAAAAGTTTGCCCACCCCTGAGTCTAGAGGGAGACTGGAATGCAGGAAAAGGGCTATTTTTATTTTATTTTTACTATTCTTGTTAATGTCCCTCCAACAATGGAAGTTGATTCCAAGCTCTGTTCTCTGTAAGGCCCCGCTCCGAAGTTCCAATTCTCCCCTGTTGTCCCCAGCCCTAGACACTTCCTGTGCTATTGTCTCAGGGTTACCAGTGTCCCCACTGAAATACCTGGTGTTGCTTCTTACGTAGACCTTGGCTGAGACACGGGCTGGTGCACACGGCAGGAAATGCATCTGTCGAATGGAGTTCGCTATATTTTAGTGGGAAATGGCAGACAATAAACTCTTTACTCAATATGAAAGATGTCACTCGGCGTCATTTGACACGTCTGCATTCGTTCCCATCCTGCAGGCTGCCCTCCGACCCAGCAGAGTGTCTGGGGGCTCCTTCCCCAGCGCCTGTGATCTGCTCTGAAGGGTCGTCCAGTGGTCTCATTCAAACCCATGGCTTTGTTGCTCTCAGAGCTACCCGTTAGTCCAGAGTTAGCCCCGGAGTCTCCTGAGTCCCCTGGCTGCAGGAAACCCGTGGTTGCACCTCTGATATCCCATACTCAGCCCTCACCTTCTGCATGCCTCCAGTCACTCTCAGTCCTAGGGTTACTCTCGTAGATCATCCCAGCAGCCCAGTCTTCCCAGGGAGGAGGCTGGGCATCATCTTGCACTGCCTTCTAATGTAATTGCTGGATGCAGTCAGTGTGCAAGCCCTCCAGGCTGTTTCCTCTGACCTCCGTTCCTTATCGCTGGGTTTCCAGAGATCGCCTCCTGTCGGGTCTCCTCTCCTTCCTCCAGTTCATCCGCATGTGTGTCTGAGTGACCTTCCTCAAGTGCAAGGGCAATCCTGTCACTTGTCTATTGAAAACCTTTAACACCTCACACTTTTAAGAAAACGTTCTACGTGTTAGGGCACACACACCTCCTGCTCTGGTGTCTGCTCACCTCTCCTCTGACCTCACCTTGCTCTTCTCCATCCGTCCAGGACACAGGCCTGCTGAGGGGTCCCAGGTTGAGGTCACTCTCCGCCGTGGAAGTGATGGGAACACAGGAGCCGCTCCTCTCCAACCCCTAGCAGGGACCAACGCGGTCTTCGTTCCACCGGCCCTTTGTACTGCCCTTGCCTTAGATAAAACCATCTTTGGTTATTTCAGGTGAAAATCAAAATCCGAACCCAATGGAGACTTCTCAGTGTAGCTGTATTACTTTGCTTTGGCTGCCATAGCTCAATACCACAGACCTGGTGGCGTCAACAACAGGAATTTATTTCTCACGGTCTGGAGGTCGCTCATCCAAGACCCACATCAGCAAGTGGATCTGCTCTGAGGACTTCCTCCTTGGCGTGCAGATGGCTGCCTCCTGCTGTGTCCTGGCACGGCCTCCTTTGTGCCCTGGTGTGTGTCCACACTTCCTCTTCTTCTCAGGACGCAGTCAGATGGCAGTAGGGCCACCCCAACTCTCCATTCTAAAGCACCTCTTATCGTCAGTTACAGTCACATTCTGAGATGCTGGAGAGGGGAGGTAATTCAGCCCATACATTTCCTTAAATTCCCCTCTCTTCCTTCCTCCCGACAACAGCTGTCAGGTCTGTTATAAATAATTGTTTTGTTATAAACAATTGTTTTTGCAGAGCTTGATATTATAAAGACACCACCCAGATAATGCTTGCTCAACTTTTTAAGATGACCACTAAAGTCTACAAGACTTAATATGAGAAACCTCAAGAACCCATGAAAGGTATTTGCCTTTAAAGAAAAATGACGGTAAAGCCTTCCTCTGTGCTGACGCTCCTGCTGCTCAGATGTGGCCTAAGGCTCCTACGCAGGACCTGACAGAACCCAACCCTGAAGGAGCCACCTGACAATGGAGAACCAAGGATGCTTTTACCAACCGATCAGTGTTTCTTTCAAAGGAAGATCTTGATCAAAAGAGGCAAATGTAAACATAATATAAACGGAGCCACTTTGAAATGGAGCTGGAGTTGTCATCCCAGAGGAACTGCCCTACACATCTTATGCCTCAAACGTTTGGGATGTTGAAACGGGGAAAAATGACCGTTTTGGACTGGGCCTAAAGCAACATTGCACCCCAAAGAACTGTTTGCAAGGATAACAAGAAAGCAGTTAATATGATTACCAAAGAGGTAGTCATAATACACTAAAAGTTAAAAACATTGTTTAGGAAGGCGGGGGAGGTGGGGGGTAAAGCTTAACCGAAGAACGTATATGCATATGTGCATAACGCATGGACACAGACAATAGTGTGGTGAAGGCCTGGGGGGCAGAGGAGAGGGTGAAGAGGGTTATAAGGGGAGCAAAGGAGACATCTATAATACTTTGAACAATAAAGATAAATAAAAAAATAAAATAAAAACACTAGAATTAGCATCACTATATTATATTATCCTATCTGAACCAATAGAAATGCCTTTCTTCTATTGATTTAACTATTCCCCTTTCCTTGCTCATCAATACCCCTTGACTTTGTCTCCTAATTGGCAACTATTTGGTCTTCTGCCTGAATCTGTGCTTCTTGAATTCTTTAAAATCTTAAATAAATGTTTGTTGCCTCTCACTTTGGAAGGCCTTTTATTTTTATGTTAGAAACCTATACACAAATGTTTATAGCAGTTGTATTAGTAGAAGTAAGAAACTGGAAACAACCTGACAAAAAAGACACCTACTGAGAAGGGCTCCTGGTGGCTAACTGGGCTCCAATTTTAAAACCAAAGCCTCGCAGCCATTTCTACACAGCAGCCTCTCACACAAACTGCATTTCACGGAAGCCCCCAGCTGAACGGCCTGCCTGTACTGTGCCCTGCCAACTGAGCCAGCCCTTATAAAGAAGGTCCTGGTATCCTATTTCAACCAATAGGACTGAGGCTTTCCCCATCCAGTCAGAGTTGTGCAGCTCTGCCTAGAGTGGCTCTATTCTGATCAATCAGGACAGTACCTTGTGGACCAATCAAACTGGGAGGATTTGGAGTCCTCATTTGCATGAGGATGGATCAACCAGGGAACAAGGTCAGGTGCTTCTATCTATACTAGAGGCTTGGTGCAAGGATTTGTGCACGGGTGGGGTCCCTCGGCCTGGCATGCGCCCTCTCACAATCTGAAATCCCTGAGGGGATGTCGGAGAGCCAGTTTTGGCCCAATCCCTGCAGGCTAGGCCAAGGGACCCCACCAGTGCACGATGGGGGCCAGGGAGGGCTTCAGGGCGTGTCTGGCTGGTCTTGCCCAGTCCCAATTGGCCTGACCCCAGCAGCAAGCTAATGTACTGGTTGAGTGTCATCCCCCTGGTGGTCAGTGTGTGTTATAGCGACTGGTCGAAGGGTTGAATGGTTGGACACATATTAGGCTTCTATTATATAGGATAAGCAAGCGCCCCTGTGACTTAGAGAGTGCATTTTCTCTTTCTACGGAGACTGAAAACTTTGATTTCCTGGCTGTGCTGAAACACTGAACATGCCTCCCTGGAGCAGAGCAGACCTGTCTCGCTGGAGAAGGGCTGGGTCCCAGGGCTGCCTGGCCCTAGGGCTGCCTCACTGCCATGCTGTTCCTACAAACCTGCTGTATTACAATTGAGTTGTTTTGTACTAAAGTTTTCATCTTCACCACACCCCAAATTGGGGAATCCTGTTGGCATTGAATTGGCATCAAACATCAATTGACAAACCCAAATGTCCTTTATTGGGGGAAGGTTTAAACAAACTCTGGTAAATTCATACTATAGACCAGTACACAGCTGAAAAGGAATGGAACATTGACACTGAGTAACTCAACAACCTAAATGTTCACCAGACAATTACTATGAGTGCAAAAGCCTATCCCAATATGTTACATATTATATGGTCTTATTTATATAATACTAGATGCCTGGTGCACGAAATCTGTGCACGTGGGGGCGCGGGGAGGGGTCCCTCCACCCAGCCTGCACCTTCTCACAGTCCAGAAGCCCTCGGGGGATGTCCACCTGCCGCCCTCAGGGGGGAGTGGGCCTAAGCCAGCAGTCAGACATCCTTAGCGCTGCCACGGAGGCGGGAGAGGTTCCTGCCATTGCCACTGTGCTTGCCAGCCATGAGCTAAGCTTCTGGCTGAGCAGCGTTCCCCCTAGTGGAAATGCACTGACCACCAGGGGGCAGCACCTGCGCTAAGCATCTGCCCCCTGGTGGTGAGTTCGCATCATACCGACTGGTCGTTCTGCCATTTAGTCGATTTGCATATTAGCCTTTCATTATATAGGATTCTTAAAATTACAAAGCCAGAGAACCAAGATGGCGGCGTAAGGAAGAGACCTGTGCGTGCTGCCTCCCACAACAACATCGAGACTACCAACTGTGGGACAAACAGCTATCATCCGGAACCATGGGAAAGCTGGCCCAGTGGAGGCTCTACAACTGGAAGGAAAGAAAGAAGAGCACTGAGACTGAGTAGGTTGTGCAGAGGCTCCAAGAATTGAGGTACGGAGTCGTGCGCCAGGCTGGCTGCAACTGGATGCACGGTTTTTTTCAATTGGAAGGGGCTGCAGACTCTCGAGTCCACTGAGCTGGTTTGGGGAGGAATTCTGAGGTCCCAGACCCCTACGGGGAGAGGCGGGGGGGGCCC